AGTTAAAAAAAAAAAAAGAATCTGTAATGTAGTACTAACACTTACTAAATGCCAGTTTGGAAAATAGCAGAAATAGTTAAATTCATAGAGAACGCAAAACTCCAAAAGCTATACATAGCATTCATACTGCTGTCTCCTTTGAACATTTCCAAGCTTGCCTTTAACTTCCTCTCAACACAGTTTTGTATACCATGAAGGAATGATTTGCAAATTAATGAACTGTATAATTTACTTTCCATTATTTCTATTTTGATCAAGGATTTAATCCTTTAAAGTCCTAGGGTTTCTGAATAGTGGTATAATACCAAGGTATTTGATTATAAACTGTGTCATTTCAAATGTACCTCACTATAGAAGACTTCAGAGCCTCGGTGAGGGGCCATAGCATCCTCTGGGAACACATTAGAAGTATGAGTTCTCATGTCTCCAACCCTTTCCCACTACTGAATCAGAATCTCTGGGGCAGGAGCAGCAGTCTTTTTAACATGCTAATATTTGAGAGCTGGCTCTGGTAATTCAAACATACCTGCACTCCAAGTACCTGATAATTAAGGTAAGATGCCTAAGTTTGATCTCGCCTCCAAACACTAACCAAGGTTTAGGCTTGACCTCATGTTTATTCTAAATGTATGTGAGGTAGATATTACAGAGCACAAATAAATTTTAAAAACCTGCAAGCCAAAGACTAGATCTCATCCCTAACTAATAATAACTAGTAAGTAGCTACCCCTGCCTCCGGTCCTTCACCAGTCACTCAGCCCAGAGTTACTCTCCTTATTTCTGGACTTCATGAAAACAGGCATGCCCTCTGTCTGACTCTGTCTGGTGTCCTCCTTATCAGTGTCCCAGTGCTGAGATTCATCTCTTGTGTTGCAGGTCGCCTTAGTTTGCTTGCTTTGCTGGTTCTGATTTAGGCTTTTTCTGAGGATGTTACAGATCTCACACATGTCCTTTGTTATACATACGTGTGTGCTTCTTTCTGACTGTTATGGTGGAAGGTATACATGTGCTCGGCTGTGTATAAACAAAACGGCTGTGACAGGAGCACATTCCTAGCAGTGCCAGGGAGTTCTCGCTGCTTCGCAGCTTCTCCAGTATGTGATATCATAACTCTTTAAGTTTATCCGTCCTGGAGGTTGTATAATACCCTTGTGGTTTATTTTGCATTTTCCTAGTAACTGATGGTAGTGAGCACTGGTCTTTATAGGCCTCTTTTCAAATTGTTGTCCGTTTTTTCTACTTGGTTGTCTTGTTGATTCTTAGGACTGACTTGAATAGGGCACACCGCCGGATGCGTCTTTATATATTCTCCTGCGCCGTTAGATGAATATTTCTTAGCTTTAATGGGCTTCCCTATTTTTCTTTATGATCCTATTTTTTAAACTCTCTTCCTTCATCATAAAGATGTTCTTCATGTGCTATAGTTCAGTATTTATTGTGCTTCAATATACAATCCACCTGGAAATGATTTTATATAAGGTTTGAGGCAAGGGCGTCAAAGTGACTCATTCCAACAATATATAATATCTCAGAACCCCCAAGATCTGGGCTTCGTTTGTTTTTACAGTAAACTTCTAAATATTTTGGTGATTTCAGTCACAGAAAACTTGCAGTGATAGTTCCCATACCTGTCCCTTGGTTTCGCCTTGGCCACTATCTCCCAATGCTGCAGTAGTGCTTTGTGACAGCTGCTGGCACAGGACTAGCTAAAGTCCTTGTTTATTCAGATCAGAACTGTTAGTCTTTGGCAAATGGAAGTGCCATTGAGTGTTTTAGGACCACAAGTATAAAATCTTGAGTAGCTGAAAATCCATCGTAGGAGTCACCTGAACTTCCATTCTCCTAAGCAGAGCTCAGTAGGGCCCTTGTGGATGTGGGTCCTGGAGGATCTCTAGAAGGGAAGTAGGGAAATCCTGCATGTAGGTAGTTGATGGAAGCTCTTATCCCTGGTTTTGAAAAACTGTGATGATGAGCAGCCTTTTGAGTCCATATTGAAGCCAGGTGTCACGGGGAAGGAGAGTCAGTGTGCTGTTGGCCTTGGATGTCAAGGACAGCTGTATCCCTGACTTGGGTTCCCTCTGTTCCTTAGCCTAGCCTTAGGGAGCATCGCCATGACCTCCGGTTCTGAGGAAAACAGCCAGCGAGACTGCTAAAAGGCTACGGCTCTTTGTCACTTCCCCTCCTAGACCAGTGGTACCAGTGTGGTTGATGTGCCCCTTGGCCTTAACTGTTTTTACTTTAAAGTGCAGACCTTGCCCCACTGACCATTTGTCATTTTGAGAGCAGACATTGAAATTACAATGGGAGACAAGGAGGGCCAGCCCCCCTTCGGTAGTGTTTATTAAAAATTCATTGTTCTGTAACCGGCCTTCACCCCCACCCTGGACACACTTTCACAGCTGTCATGGTGACCCTGGGTGCACACTGGAGTCACTGTCTCTGTCCTGCCTCTCCTCAGTACCATGAGCTCCCGACACTCTGCCAGCCCAGTGGTGTTCTCCAGTGCCAGAAGCTCACCCAAAGAGGAGCTCCATCCCGCCACGTCCACACAGCTTGCACCTTCCTTCTCTTCCTCCTCCTCCTCTGGGCCTAGGACTTTCTACCCCCGCCAGGGCGCCACCAGCAAGTACCTGATTGGATGGAAAAAACCTGAAGGAACCATTAACTCCGTGGGATTTATGGACACAAGAAAGTAAGAGTTTCTTTCTCTGTACTGGGTGGTTTTCAACCTGGCTGAAAACAGAAAGAGTTGGGATATAGTCTGTATAGCTGGTGATGCCAGGCTGGGGGCAGTGTTGGAAGGATTGGCTTAGAGTAGGGATTTTATTTTCTAAGTCAATTTTTTTCTTTAAATTATTTCTCTGCCTCATTGCTTGAGTAAGATATACTGTGAAACATTTGGATCTGAGCATTTTAACTGTCTGAAGGACACATTCAGAATAATTGACCCTCCAGTGTTCTCTCAGTCACAGCCTTCTCATGGAATTCTTCTTAACTTTGCCAGTAGGGCCAGAGGGATATTAGACAGTGAGCAGATACCCCAAGAATAAAGGGCTTTTTCATATAGTTATACAGTAGAAAACCAATCAGTGGCTCTTCCTTCACTTCCTCTGTCTATGTGAAGGGTTGCTTTGGGGATTCATACCCTGTGGTCTCTTAGTTCGTTGCTAATTTTGACAAACCAGAGCATATGGTTTCCTGTACAAGACTGATTTATTCATCAGACTTCATTTTGTATTCTGCATTGGCCAGGTCTCTTTCACAAGCATTGATCTGAGTAAATTGTAATGTCCACATGAGCCACCCTGGTCTCTCATTCTAGACAGACCCCATGCCCTTGAGCCAACCCTGTTGACTCAGTTTCTACCGTCTCTTCTAGGCGTCATCAGAGTGATGATAATGAGATTACCCATACCAGGCTGCGAGCCTCAACCAGAGACCTCCGGGCATCCCCCAAGCCAACCTCCAAGTCCACCATTGAGGAGGATCTGAAGAAACTCATTGACCTCGAGAGTCCAACACCCGAATCACAGAAGAATTTCAAGGTACAGGACAGGCTTGGAATCAATGACGGGCAGAAGCCAGGCACAGTGGTTTGTGGGCCATAGTTTAATACCTTCCACCAGTTGAGGACTGGTTCTTAATCCTGACATCGCTCTGTTCACAGTGCTCTGTCCCCACAGCCACATCTTTATTCCCAGTTCCTTTAACCTGCTCCTTCTCCAGCTGTCCTACTCTAAGTGCGTGATTCCTTGGCCTGCACTTAGATGGTATCACTTCCCAGGACTCTGGATACCTGTGCTCCTTTGTCAGCTAGAGAGTTTTCTACTGGGCCTCCAGTATGCCTTTTTTCCATGGAGTCCTTACCCCCTCATAGATGCCCTAGCTTGCCTGCTGACCTGTGTGCCGAGCACTATGCTGGCCACATACGGTACGCTGTCTACGGGTCACTCAGAGAAACTGTCTGGTGGCCGAGCTCATAGTACCGCTGTACTCAAAGCCTCTTTCTTTCTCTGGGAATTCTAGACTCTGCATGCCTTCTCTAGAGCCTAGTCTTCCTCTCCACAAAATTCAAATGCTCATTCGGTGTGTGTGTCATTGGACTGCTCAGCAGATTTTCTGTCCACCTTATTGCGTGGCCTTGGGAACTTCAAAGGTTATCTGCTTCTGCGTTCTCAGAAGTCAGCTCCTCCTCCAGGGATCGCAGCTGGGGTCTTTTAGGGAATTCCTTCTCTTGCAGTGTGAAGTGTTTCTGCTCAAGGTGTGTCAGGTAGCCCTAGGAGAAGGAAGTCCACCCCAAAAAGGTCCTTTAGTGAACTTTGAGCGTTTCCCTTCACCAAGTTCTTAGTTTAATAATGTGTATTTCAGGATACAGATAATGGGCTGGAAATGGAAACTAGAAACTTTGCTTCCTGACACACCAGCCTCCAGTGCCGTCAGAGAGCCAGTGGTGCTCCAGGTTGGGCTGCCTTGTGCTCCTGTCACCTCTGGGCTTTCCTTCACATGTGTACACACACGCACTTCAGCCCTTCTAACCTGAAAAATGACCACTTACAGGACTCACATGTACCCAAGGACCTCTCTGGAGTCTTGATGAGAAATGAGTGACTTATTGCCATGGTTTATTGTGTGACAGCATCCTGTGGTAGCCACTGCCATCCCCGATGCCTGTCCTCTCTGCTTCAGAAGCCAGCACTTAGCAGTTCGGACTCATCATTGGGACACAAATGATTTCCTTAGCAACCTTGAGAAAGATAGTGCTTGAAACTTCTTTATCCATCAAACCCAAGGTGGTACATTCAAACTTTGAAGTATCAGTTTCAAAACAAAAATTCCTTCAATTTTTTTTTTTTCTTTGAGGTCAGAGGGTAGTTAAATTTGCCCTGAAAGGAATCTTTCCTCTAAATTCTAATTTAACATTTTTGGCAAGAAACAAGCTCAGAGCTTTCCTACTTTTGTTTCTTCATGCAGTGGAAATAATTAAAGGCAAATGTCTATTCTGTCCTTATTCCAGGCAGGGTTTTTATTTCCAAAATGAATTCCTTTAACATTCATGTCTGAATCAGGGTGCCTTTGTGTTGCAACTCTGCTAAGAAAGAGCCTCCGCTGGCTCTGACCACTGAGCGGAAGGCTGGGGCAGCAGTGGGCAGACGTCATCAGTCCTCTCTAGTTTTGTCCTTTTCAACCTGCTTGGTTTCGGATGAGTTCTGATGAGTAGCTCTGTATGTCTTCTGAGAGATATCAGAATGGCCGTGACTCTGTGGTGTCAGGGAGACTAGCCTGGCCTCAGGAAATCTCCCAAGCCACTCCAGGCTCGAGGCTCCGGGCTTCAGGGAGGGCCAGCTCTGGGCTGGAGACCTGCAGCCCACTCACTCGCCACAGTGGCTTCCTGTGAGCTGTCACTCGGCTCTTCTGCCAGCAGAACAGGATGCCTCTGCAGGATGCGGCAGCACTTGGCCCCTGGCCTTGGGAATGCTGGCAGGGTTGTAGCAGTCACCTCACTGGCAAGATGGAATTGCCTTGCTTTCTGCAGTTAACATACTGCTGGCATGGAACAGACGTGTCCTGCTTTCCAGCCAGTGTTCTCAGGTAGATGAGAGCAACAGACTTCACAAAACGCTACTGTGCAGGGAAGCTAGTAGTTTGCTGTGCGTGCAGGCCACTCACGGCAGAATCAGGAATGGTGAGAGAACAGGAGCCTGACGGATAAGATGCCACCTCTCCTGGGCTGTGAAAGAGAGGAGCAAACTTGGGGATCAGTGGTCTCCAAATGGCTCAGTGGTTTAAAAACTCAGAACCAGCCCTATGATGAGATAGATGGATTCATGGGTCCTACCTGAGCCTCTCCCCAGCTGGGAATGCTGTACAGACCCCTTTGTGCTTATTGGATCACAATTTGAGAACCCTTTGCACCTTCTCTTTGAAATCCCTTTCTGGTCTGATACCCACGATGGTTTTCTCCTGACAGCACTGCTCAGTAGCCCTAGGTAATTCAGGATACTGTTAACTTCCAACAAAATGCACGGCCCAGAGAACTGGAAGGCTATTAATATTTCCCAAAGAGGCAAAACTAGAGTTGGTAAAGAATTTCTCTCCTACAAAACCCTCAGTCTGGAGACACTCATTGGAAATTGGAATCCCGCAGCTAAAACCAGAAGTGCTTTAAAAAAGATCTAGTGGCATCTGTTGGACACTAAGATCTAAGATCTTGGTCTGGTAGACAGGAGCCTTGTATGGCAAGAAGTTCTAGAACCTTGAAAACAGATATTGCCCAAACAAAATTGCAGTTCACAATCCACTTATTGCCGCTCTTCCCCATAAAATAGGAAAAGACACTGCCACCCCCGTGCCCTCTCGGATGGGTCATGGCAGCTCATTCTAGGCCAGCTTGTACATACTTTGGATTCAACGCATCATGAAGTTTTAAAAATAGTCATTAATTTTTTGTGAGTGTGTGGTGTGTGTTTGGACGTGTTTTTTGTTTGGAGGTGTGTATGTGCCACAGTGTACACTTTCTGCCTTGTCTGAGGTAGAGTCTCTTGTTTATGGCTGTGTTGTATACTCCAGGGTAGCTGGCCCGAAAGCTTCTGGGGAGCTCTTCTACCTCTGCCTCCCATCTTACCATAGGCTTGGATTACAGACACCACCATGTCCAGCTGTTACATGGGTTCTGGCCATCCAAACTTAGATTGTCAGGCTTGTGTGGGTGCTTTTATCTGCTGAGTCGTTTTTTAGCCCCTCAGAATAATTTTTTTAAAAAGTAAATAATGTATTGAGAATTTCATACACACCTATAAGGTGTTTTGATCAAATCCTTGCCCACTCCCTCTCTTCCAACTCCTCCCATATCTCCCCATCACTTTGTTCTGATAATTTCATGTTCTCTTTCTTCTTTATCTGTTTATTTATTTATTTTTATGGGGCTTTTGGCTACTCGATAACATTCCCCCCTCTGAAGAGGTAACCCTAAAATCTTTTAAGGGTTAGATACAAGCTCCCAAATACTTTCGACATTTTTGGCTTTTGGAACAGAGTATGTGCTAAGAGGCTCAGGGATATTTTGACTTTTTGCCAAGACACTGGCTACTTTTCTTTGGCGTCTTTTTACCCTGACTGCCTAGCCAATTCCTACCTCCTATTCTTATCACACCATCCTCTGGAGAGGTTACCCAAGTTGCCAATAGGGAATCGGGACACAGACCGCTCTGGCTTCTTCCATGCTGAACAGGGATGCAGGGTGAGGTAATTGGGGTACCCCTTTAGTGGGTCTATCTAAAAGACTCCCAATTTGCATAATTCTTATCTCTAGGGGGAAAAGAAAGTCCTTGAATCATGAATAGGAGATGTGAAGGAGAAGTAAATGCAAGAGTAGTTAGCATTACAAGTTCTAGACAGGGAACTAGAAAAAAGTCAGAACAGGGCAATTTTCAAATGTTCATATGAGAGTCCATTGGAATTTCTTGACAAGGGCTTCCAAAAGCATCCCTCTATTGGGTTCCTCCTCATTTTTCTTTTTGTCTTCCCCAAGGCTGGACTTAAGAGCGATGGATTCAGGATTTGCTTTCAGGTATTTTGATAGCTGTTGGAGTGGTTAGAATCCGTGTCAGTTCCCTCTCAAAGGCTTCTGGATAGGGGGAGAAAACAAATTTATCCATCATTTTAGAGCAATAGCTGGTTGTCTCCCTTAGCTACAGGTGGGCACTACAGTATTGGAGACCAAGATTTGAAGTCTCACATCTGAGCAGCACTTTCTGTTTAGGAACAAAATCAACAATGAGAAATAATTGTCTAAATAACTTTCATCATGATTTTTTTATGTGAACAAGATTGTTACTATGTAGGTTATACCTTGGGCTTATTTTACAGGGTTACTGATTAATAATTTGTACGTCAGCTGCACACAGCACACTGAGGGGTTGGGGCCCTTGTTTAATCTTTGGATTGATAAATGGAAATACAACCAACTTAGCTCCAGTGTATGCAAATAAACTTAAATCTCAGCTCTGTGTTTCTAGGTCTGTAACATCAACCACCTAAAGGAGCCATTGCTAAATCCTTCAGTCATTGCTCTCTCAGATTGTTGTGAAAAAAGCCCCTGTGGCTTTCTGCCCCTGGTGATTCCGTCCTCCTGACATCTTCACCCCTTGCTGTTCCCCCTGCAAGGTGAATAGTGTCCTACAAGGAACTGAATAAGGATCACTCGATTCAAGTGCTCTGTTGTCTTCTAGCTTGCTGGATGTTTAAGCCTTTTGTGTCTATTGTTTCTCAGTAAAAGGGATTCTCAGGAGCTTTGTGGTTTGTGGGAGTGTCAAGCAAAGCACATCTATAGGAGATGCATCTCTTTGGAACTACTTGTCACTTATAAAGCCAGTTCCATACTCATCATGAGTGATGGACATCTTCAGGCCAGATGGCCTGATGGTTGCATGCCTTTAATCCCAGTACTTGGGAGGCAGAGGAGGGGAGTAGGCACAACCGAGGCTGAAGACGGAACTCTCTCTCAACATAAGATGGTTCAGCAGGTGAAAGCACTTGCTCGTAAGCCTGAGGACCTGAATTCAATCCCTGGAACCCACATAAAGGTTGGAGGGGACAACCACCTCCAGAGTTGTCCTCTGACCTCCACACATGTGGCACGACACGTGTGTACATACACATACACACACACACACACAGAGTAAGATTTTTAAAAAGATGATAAAATTCTCCAAAGCTCACCAAGTCCATCCGTCATGTGGGTGACCTTAGTAGTTACACATGCCAGGAACCACCTTTTATGAGTTCATACATTTTGCTGATTGAATGCCCCGGTTTCCCAGCAGTTACTGTCACCTGGCAAGCCTCTGAGGTTCTCTGTGACTGTATTAGCTGGAGCCACATCCTCATTTTGTAGCCCACTGGCTGATGCCATTGTGATAAGCCAGCATTTCACTGAGCAGTTATGAGAGTATAGGTCAGGGAGGTGACATGATTTGGTCAAAGACTCAAGATTCAGATAAAACTCGTATTTAATGCTGGGCATGGTGGCACGTGCATTTTGATTCCAGCATGCAGGAGGCAGAGATAGGCAGATCTCTGTGAGTACTGGGTCAACCAGTTCTACACAGTGAGACCCTATCTCAAAAACAAAACTCATATTACCTTGTTCCTAACCATCACTCAGTATTGATAAAGCCACTAAATCACAGGTCTGAGTTCCATATTGAACTCTGGTAGAATTTTTACCTCCTGGAGAATGTAGGACTAGATGGGGCTGCAGGACTGGAAGGGACTTGCCAGAGCTGCAGCCTCGTTTCTTCACCAACCTTGCCACGGTCTCCAGTGTCTGATCTAGAACCCTGACTCCAGCCTGTGTCCTCTGTTTTCCAGTTCCACGCACTGTCCTCCCCACAGTCTCCTTTCCCCAACACCCCCACCTCCCGACGGGCCTTGCACAGGACGCTGTCAGATGAGAGCGTTTACAGCGGCCAGAGGGAGCACTTCTTCACCTCCAGGGCTTCACTTCTGGACCAAGCCCTGCCCAACGATGTTCTCTTCAGCAGCACCTACCCATCTCTCCCCAAGTCACTCCCACTGCGGAGGCCATCCTATACCTTGGGAATGAAGTCCTTACACGGTAAGTGTGCCTACAGCTAGGGCTGGCCAGTCCTGTAAGATGGCCAGTGTTTGGGTATGACAGACTTTCAGTATGCTTGGAAGTAGGTGTTGGAAAGAGTCCTGTCTCTACCCTATCCCCAGTCGCTCCTTCCCTACCATCAACTCAGACCATAAGTTACTTCCACACTTGTCAAAGACACAGATCAGTACACCTTAGAATCTAGCAAGACCTGCTGAATTTGATTCTTTTTAAGAGAGTAGTATGGGGAATTGGTGTTCTTGTCAAGCATCCTAGCTGCTGAAAATAGGATTGGGCAAATGAGGCCAACACCACATTGGTAAATTCATAGAGGCGTGTCCCTTGCTTCCCTTAGTCACCATATAAACCCAGAGCTGTAGTGTCTCTCTTCATTCCCAGCCCATGAGGATACTGCCTGCACCGTCTGTCGTATGCATTTGTTGATCCATCCATCTGTCCATCCAGCAAGCTCTCACTTCTTAAAAGAATTAGAGCTCATTGCGCCTCCATGTTCTGGCCCATAGCTCATATATGCCGTGTTTGCTTTGTGACCTCACTAGATCCCAGTTTTATTAGGAGTCATATTCTGGGACTTCAATTCATTTTTCTTTCTCCTCTCTGTCTAAATCCACCCCAGGGCTCTGTACGTCACCTGACAGCCACAGCTGAGCCCAGCAGACATGCAGCATGGGACCTCATTCCTGAGCATTTGCCATGCATGCCACTGTGACCGAATTTCTCTCTTAACATTCCCTTCTGTGAAGTCTCTGGCAGCTTTTATGTCTTGTGCATTCTGGCCCACGTTTTTCCTCCTTTTCTGGAGCCTCCTGCCTGCCCTGCACCATTCTCCAGCCCTCACCCACACTCAGCATTTCAGCATGTCTCCACCCTGCTCAGGGACAGTCCAACCCTCTCTCTTACTCTTCCGCCCACCTACAACTTAAGTCTAGGTTTTCTCTGCCCCCAGAAATCATTCCCAGTGAACCAGGGTCAAGGCATGAAGTACTGTGCCATGCTTCTGGGTTCTAGACTCAGACGTTGAAGGGGCTTAGCCTGTTCCTTACATTTTTCTCCCCCTTGCTTCCCACACAGGGGCACTGCCCCTGGATTTCTTTCTTCCTACAATCCTCTCTTTGCCTACCTTCAAAGCATTTCTTATCTCCCCATGCTTTTTTCAACTTTCACAGCAAAGAATCCCCTTATCCTTTGGACAGGGTGGGGTGGGGTGGGGGCGGGTCTAGAGTCGTAGAGCTGTCGGAGTAGGCTTGACTCATAGAGGTATCTGTTCTACAAGAACAGCTCAGAAATCCAGCTCCCACTCAATCACTGTCCCACTGAGGCAGCACGTGGGCAAAGCCATGTGGGCCCACAGAGCTCTGTGGAGAAGGACGCAAAGAGCCTGGTGGCCTCACTGTGCACCTTCCCATTGCCTCCTGCTCTCCTAGATGACAGCTGTGGCCATTGCCAACTCACACCTCGTGGTCCTTCCTGGCTTGATCACCCATTCCATGCCTTGTTTGGGATCTACCACTGAGATGTATTTGAGGGATGGGAGGGGGTGTTTTTTCCCCCTTTCTCTATATGGAAATTGGGATGTCAGAGATAAAAGGGCAGAAAGGTTAGAAGTAACAAAATTATCTATTCTGCCTATGTGCCCTTGGTGGAAGCAGGTTTAAATAGAACTGTGCATTTAATGTCTTGCAGTATTTGTTGACTTCCATTTACTCATAATCTTGCTCATTTTAAGTGCATTAATAACCAGCAACTGTACTTTAGAGCAGTTCTTACATAATTTGAAAGGGAAAATAAGCACTAAATACACCCTGGCTTACTAGGCTGCCATAATAGACAAAACTTCTGACTCATTGTAACGGTACTTTCTAGGCCTGCATTGCTTTGCACTGTGTTTGTGAGGCCTTTAATGCTATAGTGCGCTCTGAGGGGAGCCTTCTCATGGCACTGCATGCTGTGCCATTTCCACCCCAGCTTTTGCCTCTTGGGGACATTTACATTGCATGAGCCGCACCTCCCTGCCTTCCTGCTATCTGCGTCCTGACCTGAGCTGCTGCAGAGTGTCATCAGGGGGCCCACGGTGTCTCCTGGTGGCTTTTCCTCTAACCCAGGCCAAGCAAAGGTTTTGTTATGTCGGGTGTTACAGTAGTTCAGTGTTTGTAGTCAGTGACGTTTCACCTTAGTAAAAGGCGATGTTGGATTGCTCTGACAAAATTGATCCCGGATGTTGCTCAGATCGTCAGGATGGAGACTAATGCTAGCGTCCACCAGAAAATCCCCCTCCCAGGCTGGCTCCTATAAGAGACTGAGCACTCTCAGTGTCATCTGGTTTGCTTCTCATACCCCCTGGGTGCATCTAGCTGTGGAAGCCAGCAGGCCCTCTGGGATGCAAGGCACATGTGGAAGGATGTGCCTATCCTTTACAATTCCTGATGATGGAGTCCACAGAGACTGGCATCAGATCCCTGCTCCTGGCCCAGATAAAAAGCAGATCCCTGCTCCCTTGCCCTTCTATAGGCAGGAATAAACATCCCTGGGCTGCCTCTACAGTCCAGATCTCCAATGGAGTAGGCCTTTTCTCCCAGTTCAGTCGTTTGACTCTAAATGGAGCTCAGCACTAGAGCCAACCACCCTGTGCCCCACTGAGGATGGCAGCTCCCCCACATCAGACCTGTGGATAGCTTCAGTGCAAAACTAAATTTCTCATGACTCACATTCCTGAGAAGGAGATGGTGGGAGGTTATTTTTAAAATGGGAAGAGACTGGAGGAAGCCAGGTCAGCTTCATAATGACTACTAAGAGCCTACTAGGCTAGACATCAATTTCAGCAGTGATGGCTTACACATTTATTGTGGTAGCAGGAAATGGGTATGTTCTTGATTGCTTCTCTTGTGGGCACAAGCACTGTTCTGTTGTCCCCTTCTGCAGGAGAGTTCTCAGCCTCGGACAGCTCGCTTACCGACATCCAGGAGACCCGAAGGCAGCCCATACCTGACCCTGGCCTCATGCCCCTGCCTGACACTGCTGCAGATTTGGATTGGTCCAACCTAGTAGATGCTGCCAAAGCTTATGAGGGTGAGTGAGGCCCTGAAGGCCATGCTGCAGGGTGCCAGGGTATGATCAGGTTAGACCACTCTGCTGCCCTGCTACATTGACAGCAATGTGCCTCACCCACACAACTGGGGCCCAGAGCCGGAGCTCATAGCTGCAGAGCGTGGGGCCAGCGTGTGGGCCAGGCACCTTTTTTTTTTTTAAGTTAGATGGAACCTGGTGTTTCCTCTATATAGAAATTTATAACATGGTTCCTGTGGTTCTTAAATGCAGCGGGCACCCCAGACTGGGACTTCTCTGGTCTGCAGAAATGAGAGCCTAAGTGCAGTGTGCATTGACCATTGATGTAGGCTGTCTCCTCTCCTCTCTTGAGTAAAGACTGACTTTGCTCTAAGATTATCCTTCCAAAATATTTAATGCTGAAATGTTCTTCTATAAAATTATGATAGCAGAACATTATTTTTCATGCTCTTAAGAGAACTGGAAGTGGCTCTTCTGTCAAGTTTGAGTTTGGGTGGCAGGGTTTGTGAAGACACTGTGCAGCCGTAATAGTGAAGCCCCATTGCCTCCTTCATGCTTCTTTGGCCCACAGAAATTCCCCAGTTCTATCCTGGTTTGTGAGTTTGCTCATTACTCTCCTCCAAGTAAATTTTAAGGTGGGGTATTTCTTAAGTAGGTAGAGTGGCCAGGCATCTTGTGGACAGCATCCTTCAAGAAGTTTCAAGAAGCTTAATGCTAGCACTTGAATGCATTTATGTCATCACCCCTGAGAGAAAAGCCTTGGTCTGGAAATTCAGCATAAGGCTTCTTTCTGGGGAAGTATTTAAGAGGATGCTGCTTTTATAAGCAGGGGAAAGGGGACTGGAAATTGATTCTTGGCAGTTAATTATTTCAAGGGCAGTTACAGTGTTACTATCCTTATAACTGAAAGAGCAGAATTTCCTGGGAGGGTTAGAGACTTAAGGATTCCAAAATGTCCTGTATGTTGATTCCACTTGACCATCCATTTAAACCACTGATTGACTTTGCAGATAGGGCCCAGGGATGTGAGTCCTACACTCAGTGGTTTCTTGTCTCTCTTCCAGTCCAGAGAGCCTCATTTTTTGCTGCTAGTGATGAAAACCACCGCCCCTTGAGTGCAGCCTCCAACAGTGACCAGCTGGAGGAGCAGGCTCTGGTCCAGATGAAGTCTTACAGCAGGTTGGTCACCCAGTGCTGAGGGTGCCACTGTGCACCATGTGTTGCCCCTGGTAGTGACAGATATGACGACGAGGAGATGAAAGGCTCCATGGATTAGCCGAATAAAGCTCAGCACTGCAAGGCCAGACTCTTGGTTCTTTAGTTAGAACACTGTAAACACAATTAAACTGTTTTTGATGGCTTACTGTCAAAATTATGAATATTCTTTATTATTTAATGTTGTAATGTACCTATCTATGCCCCTGGGCCCTTGAGATTTGGTCCTGGAGTCTGGTTTTTTCTGTTTTCCCAGTTGTCACTGGCCGTGCTGTGACTCTTCCCATGTCTGCTCAGCTCCTAGTGTTCTGCCTCAACTGTGTTTGAAAGCAGGAGACCAGGCTGACTCAGAGTATAGTAAAATAAGGAACGAATCAGCAGTAACAGAGTGAACAATGTGGACTTTAAGACTTCTCTTGAACCGTACAGAGGCTGAATTTTTATTGCTCTTATTTTCAGTTGGTGAGGCACAGACTGAACGTGACATGTTCCTATATAGCAAGCATCCCAGCAGCCCAGCCATGGCACACACAGTAGCACTCCTTGCAGAATAGTCTTGCCAACTTGAAATTCGTCCCCTAAATCCTTGTGGGGATGGTTAGGAACCCAGGTATCCAAGCCAGGTATGGTAGTGTATGCTGAGGCAGCAGGATCATGAGTTCAAGGCCAGCCTGGGCTACATAGTGAGACCCTGCCAAAATAAAGCAAACAAGCAAATACAAAATCCAAATACTATGAAATGTAGTCAGAAGCAGACAATAACGGGGAAAGAGAGGCTAATGTGGCTTGTACTGATCTAAGTGGGACTTGTGCTTGAGACTTCTGTGAACACGTGTGCAAGGAAGCACACTTAGCACAGACAGTATGAGTGGTTTCTTGTGCAATCTGAGTGTAACAGAGACGGCACATTCCCTCTTACCACTGGGGCAGCTGGGGTGAGCAGAGTGGCAGGTTGGCCACTCAGAACCTTAGAGGGAAAATGAAAAGGACAACATAATGGAAGGACAGCCCCACATGTGCTGTCTTAGGATGAGCTCTCGACAGAGAGAAGAGTGAGTCAGAGCATTTGTTCTGGGAAAGGATCGTTACTGTGGAATCATAGGATGGGGTGGGAAGAGTCTGGCTTTGTTCAGTTCAGGCTGAACAAATGCAGATGGAGTCAAACTGCCTGAAAATATTATCTGTGCATTCAGGATTCATTCTCAAGAACTTCTAGAGGTTGACCAGGACTCCTGAAGTTCTGTCAGGCTCAGTGACCTTCAGGGCTTTGTGGTGCCCTCCCCTATGCACAGCCTTGTTGTTTCTGCCAAACAGGTTTAGCGTCCATCCCTTTCCAGATCCAACCAGCCTGTTATACCACATTGTGGGCTGCAGCTGACCACTTTTAAGACCCATTCACTATCCATTTTTAGTTGTTGTGTTTGAGGAGTTTGTGGGTCAGTACCTCTCCCTTGCCAGCAGCCTTGTTATGCTCCCGGATTTGCGGGTTCTGTCTTTGAAACCTGTTGCAGACTTAGAATTGAGAAGACCGAAACAGCCCCCTACAGGTCAGGAATTCTAACTTGAACTTTGACTTTTGAAGCAAAGACTATCTTTGAAGAGTACCTTTTGGTCCCTGACTGAGACAGTCGAGAATTGCCATCTCCAGCTCTGCAAAGAGGCCTCTGTGTGTTTTCCCAACAGAAGACCAGTTTTGTTACTACTCTAAGTCACATGACATGACTAGACCATCCCTGCTCCCAACCCACCTCTATGAAAGTTAGCAGCTCCCATTCAGAAGAAATCCTGAGAGTAATGAGTTGTCAACAGTTTCCTGGAAGGAGAGGGGTCTTCTAGTCTTATCATACGACTTTTAGAGGAAGAGGAAAGGACCTGAGCCCAGGGTCCCAGGGGTGGCAGCACTGGTGTGTGGTCCTCCAGCATCCTGGCCCCCAATGTTCCACTAGCAGGACTGATGAACACTTCAACCTGAAAGCTGCTTGTTGTCTCTAATGGCACAAAGTTTAAGACATTAAGCTTAGACCGAAAAGCTTTTGAGACTTGCAGTCTTGTTTTTTAAGATGTGGACATGATAACATAGTGGGTTGATCGGCTGCAGAGTGCTGTCCTGGGAACCTGAGACCTGATCTGTGCTGGTGGCCCCAGTGCCTCTAGAAGAAATCCTGAGTATAATCGCATTGTGGCTCTTGCATCTGCCAGGGTTTCTCTTGTCCTGCCAGAGACCTGTTTGTCACTAACTTCTATCAGAGATGTATCAGCTTTAACAAAGTAAGCTACTGACTGTCATTCATATCTGTATTGCTTCTTATTAAGATCACCATTTTCTCTTTTAAAGTAAAAAAAAAAAAAAAAAAAAAAAAATTCACATTGGGTTACCATACTGAGTAATTTGATATTGAAAACCATTTTTAAAAAAACCCAGCAGCCATGGAGGCGCTGCCAGCGTGGCCTTTTGTCTCTCATCCCAGCAGTAAGGACTCCTCTCCCACCCTGGCTTCCAAAGTGGACCAGCTGGAAGGTATGCTGAAGATGCTTCGTGAAGATTTGAAAAAGGTAAACATAGTCTCAGAGCAGATTGACATTGACAGGCCATGGGAGCAAAACAGCCTTGAGCCAGGAAAACTTGGGATGTCAGTGAGCTACGTGTGGCCATTTTCCCTGCACGGTTTTTCTGTATACTTTTAGGGGCAGCATGAAGTTTGGTGCCTGTTTTTGTTTCTTTCTTATTGTTGTGATAAAAAGTGACCAAAAGCATCTTGAGGAAGAAAGGGTTAATTTTCTTTTACATCTCCCAGGTCACAGTTCATCACTGAGGGAAGTCAGGGCAGAAACTCAGGGCAGGAACCTGGAGGCAGGAACTGAAGCACAGACCATGGAGGAGTGCTGTTTACTCTCTTGCTCACAGTTGGTTGGTGCTCAGTGTGCAGGGGTGGCACCACCCACAGTGGGCTGGGCCCTCCCACAGCCCATGCACATCACTTGACAATCAAGAAAATGCCCCACAGACAGGACCACGGGCCAATCCAATGGAGGAAGTTCCACAGTTGAGGTTCCTTTCACCCAGATGTGTCAAGGTGATAACTGATACTGTTCAGCACAGTGTGAGTGACAATCACTGTATGAGAAGCCTTGGTTGTCATATGTACAGAAAAGCAGGTCCCTTTTGGGGAAAGCTTTGCACCTCGGCCAGGCCTCTCTGGACCCTCTTGCCGCCCCACCCCCACCCCCCTTCAGGTCCCATGTAGCCCTTGCTATTTAGGATTTCACACCAGGAGAACTGAAAGTTTTGTTTCTTGAGTGACTTTGACTTTATCAAGGTAGCAGCCACCAAACAGTGGCCTGAACTCAAAGCTGTCCTATACAAATGAACGTAATTGCATTTCAGGCTAATCCTGTAGTGTTGACCTTTTTGGAAGCCCTGGACTTCCAGTGGCTTCAGTTCTAGAACCAGACAAGTACACAGACCTTTAGTAGAGTGAAAAATGGAAACAGACCAAATACAGGGATCGGAGTTACTGCCTTGCCTTACTGGGCAAGGTGGCCGGCCTTCAGTTCACGTCTGCTTTGCTTGTCCTTCAGGAAAAAGAAGACAAGGCCCATCTGCAGGCAGAAGTTCAGCACTTGCGTGAGGATAACCTGAGGCTGCAAGAGGAGTCCCAGAATGCCTCGGACAAACTGAAGAAGTTCACGGAGTGGGTCTTCAACACCATAGACATGAGCTAGGGGCAGCCGAGGGAAGAGGAAGAGGCCACAAGCCGCACTGCTGGGCACCTTGCAGCACCCATTCACGCCTTCAAAAGCATTCTGCCATCTTCCCCGGCTTCCCACTCTGCCCCCTTTCGGGCAGTGCACAACACGACAATTGCAGATCAACAATCATCATCTGCCTTTTGTAGAAAAGTGAAACAAAAAAGTAAATAAAAATTTTAAAAAGTAAAATAAAAAGTTTAACTGCTAAAATGTGAATGTCTTTATTTTTTTTGCACAATATCTTTGTCTGTTATGTATTTTAAAAGAAACTGGTCCAGGACCAGGTTGTTTCTGGCCCATCGGCCTTTATTTCCATCAGCTTCCTGATCTGTTTCAGGTAACCCAAGCTCTCCCTGTTATCCTGACAAATGTCTTTGTTCCTAGGAAGATAAAGGTTTTCCTTTTTAAACTTTGTTTGAGGGATGGGGAGGGTGTTTCCTGTCCCCTTTCCTAAAATGCCTGGAGAGGGATGGGCTTTAAGAAGAGGCCCACCACCCTGAATGGTCAATGCCTGAGTTGGTGCCTCTGCACCTATCTTCCAGCAACAGCAGGTTGGCGCTCTTTGCCCCTGTGTTCCTGCATTGGGATGTCATTTCTTGCCCCAGGAAGACGGTCCCTGATGTGTTTGTCAAAGCTGGGACTCTTGTTTGGCTTAAGTGAACCATGCTAAATTGGAATCAACCTCTCTTACAGCCTCCCATCTCCAAACAGTAATTGGTTTCTGAATTCTCCCAAATGATAACCTTATCTGTATGCATTTTGAATGAGTTTTGGTCAAAAGTGTGTGTGTGTGTGTATATATATATATATATATCTTTATATATATATATATATACACAGTTTTTGTTTGACATTTTTTAAAGATGTAGTAAAATTTTTTTTTAAAGTTTGTTCAAACTATATTAATTGATAAATCCTTCTCTCCAAAGCAAGACTTCACCAGTGTTTGTAATTAAGAAAAGCTAACCATGAATGTTAAACTGTGACTTTTAATCCTCGCTTGTTAGGAGCAATGCGTGTAATGGAATGGGCTTTTGAAACCTGCATGTCCGGGTGTGGAATTTTCGCACGGCATTTTCTGCATCCTTTTACAGCCATCCAACGGACCCTGCTGCAGAAATTACTTCTGCCTAATAATGCAGGCTGCTCTGGGCCCCTCACCCTCATGCTGCAAAGCTCAGATACATGGGGCTAGCTAGTGCTGACTGGTCTGAAGACACCACCTTATTTTTTGCCTTCATAATTGTCACTGAACCAACCCCTTTGCCCCTTCAACAGCCACACTGGTCTACGGGAACATTCTGCAGCCCAGTGGTGTGTGCTAGAGAGTTCCCTGCCATAGTAGGACCCACCTTGCCCTTGGTTCCATCCCTGAATGACACGGGATTGTTGGATTGCCCTCCTGCCTCCACTGCCCACACCAGATTTTTATGTGACAGCTTCATTCATGACTGTGATTTTTCCCTGGGGCCTTCTCTTTTTTTTTTTTTTTTTTTTTTTTTTTTTTTTTTTTTTCCTGTTAACATTTCTATCTTGGAAATAGGACGAGTTCGGAGCGCTTTGTGAAGATTTCAGTTGTCTCTCTCTCACTTTAATGTGTATGAAGGAGATTGTACATTGCCTGATGTCTCTGTAGATGAGCGCTACTGCTAACAACCAAGCATTCTGAATGAAGTCTTGCTTATCCTGAATTTCCTTTTCATTTTGTTTTTTTCTTTGGGGACTTGGGGCAAGCTATTTATTAGAGTTTTGCAACAGAGTTCTTGTTTGAAGCCTCTAAAGACTAATTATAAAATTCAAACAATAAAATTCACTTTAAATGCTCTTTTAAAACACTTTGTTGTTATTGCTCGAGGTTTGTTATTTGAAAGACCACCCAGTGATTCCCTGACCCTTCTCACATCCTAATTTCCTCATCAAGCTCCATTAGCTCTAGAGAGATGCTGGAAAGTCTGCATCCTTTTAAGAACTTTACTGTGCTTTTTCTCCCCTGTTCGCATGTCCATAGTGAATTCCGACTCCATTTCTGCATAAGATTGTTTCCAGAGCACGGCGTGATCAGTTGCTTCCTTATGTACATGTGCACTTTCTACCACAACATTGTCATTCTCTGAGACATACACACTTTTTTGGACCGCCGACTGCATCCTCCAACTGTGTCACGTGCTGTGTGTTCGGGGAATCCAAATGCTGTTAATATTAGACTGTACAAAATATAATTAGAAAAGTTAATCCACTGAAGAAAATCAATGCATTTTTAAGTTAAATGGCCAAAAAAAAAAAATTAAAAGCCCGTTTTCAATCCACCACCTCACTGTTCCTCTCCAGCAGTGCAGCTAATTGAGAGCTGACAGTTTATTCCATTTGGTTCAACAATTTCTACAAATTCTAGAATTGTAAATCTAGGATAAGAGCAGATGCCACAAGATACTTGGATTGAAAAGCTGAAATAATATCTATTAGAGCATGGCTCTTAACGTGTTCGGGGAGGGGGCTTGGAGGTGTAGTTCAGTTGGTAAAGTACTTAACATGCACAAAGCCCTGGTTTCCATCTCCAGGACCAGCTAAACCAGGCATGGTGGCACACTTAGGAGGTGAAATTCAAGGTCATCCACAGCTATATAGTGATTTCAAGACAAGTCTGGTATACATGAAACCCTGACTCACAAAATCAAAAACAGTTTGGAGAGTTTATGCCATACTAATGAGGGCTTTGGCTTGGGAGTTCTGGGGTCTTCCTTGGTGGAGAAAGTCTATCCAGGAGCAGATCAGAGAGCCACTTAGCTGGGCTCCAAATCTGTTGTAAGTAATAAGCTAGGTGGGATTACTCCATTAATGATAAAAATGACAATTCAAGAGTGGGTGCTATGGTGGCAAATGGCATAACCCTAGTACTCGGGACGCTCGGACAGAAAGATTGGGAGTTTGGGACTAGCTTGAGCTACAATAGTAAGACCCTGCCTCAAAAACTGCTTAAATATTCCAGGGGCAAAAGAAACAGGCCCAGCAAACAAGCAATTTGCCTCCCACTAAATGTAAGAGGTTCCCATTTCAATAGAAACTTCCAGTATTTGCCATGTGCTGCTTCTCAGAAATGAAGGAAACAGGTTTTTAAGTGCAAGATGGTGCTTGGTAAGAACACAACCAGCAAAGGCTTGGGCCTGTTAACCAGGAGGTTTGCAGTTATAATGAGGCCACAGAAATATTGCATGCTTTCCCCATAAACTAACTCCTCCACTAAACAACCTGTCCAATTGGTCTCTGAGTCCTGGGTGGGTGAAGTTTAAAATAGGAGTTCTGTTCAAGAACCCACATTCTGCAGACTTTTTCTCTACACTTTGGTCATTTGTGTTCTTTTGTGTTCATGGCCCTCTGTTGCATGAGGGAGCTTTGTTGATGAGAGTTGAGAGATGCGTTAGTGTTCTCTCTGCCCCTTATTCCGTGATGTTCTGTGAACCTTAGGTGTAGAGGTTCTGCTGTAGATGTGTCACTTAGGGTTGGGCATTTTACAGACACTTAATTTCTGTGTGTGACCAGTTGTAGAACTCTGTAATAGTCTCTGCAAAAGAAGCTTCTTTGATGAGTGGTGACTGGCATACTTGTCTCTAAATATAAGGATCCATATTTAGCACATAGTAAGAAATAACATTTGTCTAGGGATGTAACAGTATTGGGGTTTTCTCTAAGATCTGTGACCTCTCCAGCCATGTGTATTTGGCTATGTTTACAGTACCACACTAGTTCCCTCCCATTGAGTGGGCTTTAAGTCCAATTAAGTAGCTGTTGATTACCCCCGAGATAAAAGTGCCTCTACTACCCCAATATAGTTTGCTGTGCCAGTCATTGTTATGGTTATTAGGCCTTAAAGCTGGAGTTGGACCATCGATTGATATTCTCCCTTAGCAGCTTGCGAAGTGCACTCCAAAACTTGGAGAGCTAGCCTTGGGGAGGTGGCTTCCAGGTCAGTTCCAGCTCCATTGCTTTAAGTCCTGTGTCTGAAGTATGTCCTGTCTTCAGCAATAAGGTCTTACTTTCAAGTTATGGGAGGTAATCAAGGGCTGTGGCAATAGCCTGTGTCATTTTGAGAGTCTCTTGGGACTACTATGTCCAACTATTTGAAGGGAGGTTTCTCCTGTCTGCCACTGCTGCTTGTTATGTAGCGTTCAGCTGTACACACGAACTCATGTAGAGATATTGTATATGAAATTTTTTTAGTAGGTTTCTGAACTAATGTTTCCCTCTGGTTTTTTAGACCAGTGAGGCATTATTTATCTCTCCTCTCTCTCTCTTCCTGTCTAACCCTGCCTCCTCCCTCCCCAGTTAAAGTACCCCCATTTTCCCCATTTCACCCTTGATAATATTTGTCTTCTGTGGTTCCCCCCTTGAGCTGCTTCTTCCCCTTTCCCCGTCCTCCCCATCCCATTTAAATGCCCTCCTTGTACCCATTTTGTCCTACTGTTCTCTCTCAAGCTCCTTTCCTTTTACTTCCCTGGTTCCTTTCCATTTTCCTGGCTCCTGCAGTTACATCAGGATACATACTCACATGTAAGGATTTGGTGCTAGGATCCACAAATGAGGGAGAACATACGTCGTTTGTTTTTCTCAGTCTGTGTTACTTCACTTAGGATAACAGCTTCTAGAGCTCTCTTTACTTAGAATTTTCTGCCTCTTAAATATTTGAAAGCTCTGTATTCCCTAGATGAGGTTGGAATTCCTTCACCATCTAAGTACATGAGGCCCACTGCCAGATTATCAAGGGATGACGCTGATGACCTTGGGGAGGTGACAGGATGGCAGCATTGCTGAGGGACACAGGACCCTGGGTGGTAGTTGAAGGTCCCCTGAGCCAGGACCTCAGCAGGTGGCCACATTGGAGGTACAGAGACTAGGAGACTTGGTTTCGGGCTTCAAGTGTGGAATTTCAAGTCACCCAAACTCAACCCAGCCTATTCATTTGCATCTCCCAGAATATAACATATGTCTCAAAAATAACCAAACCAGCAAGTTGCAGAGTTGCCTTCATCTGCTGTCCATTTAGAAATCCTTACCCAAATGCTCACTCTCAATAGCCCATTTCCTCTGCCACTGACTAGAGAGAAGAGAAGGAGAGGAGGAAGCCATTGCTTATCCTCTGTCTTTTATGTAAGCAGCAGGTCAAAGTCCAAGATTCTGCTAGCCTTTTCCAAGATGATAATAGCCTGGGCCATGTC